CTCGCTCTTATGCTGTTTTACTTTTGTTTTTTTTCTATCTTTCTCTTTTTTATTTGTGTTTTGATTTGAAAGTTTTTTTTTTTTTTTTTTTTTTTTTTCGGCATTGTTTTTTCCAAAGTGTGGTGAAATGAGCGAAAACTATTATTCGTATATTAAAACATAAGTCATATTCTTCATTTTTCACTTTTGAGTTTTGTGGCCTGATGGACCACGGATATTTTTTTTTTTTTTTTTTTTTTTCGTTCGTTTTTGTGGCCTGATGGACCACAGATCAGATACTAAACTGATCAGAACGGATACTACGCTTGATGAGCCTTGATCTATTTTTAGCCGCAAGGCTGAGAAAAGTACCTAACCACCACCTTTTTTTCCCCCCATCCCAAGCCCCCTCCACCCCTCCCTCCCTTCCCAATAGTCATCATGTTTGCAGATGACCTTACGGAACAAATACGGGCATCGGATTCTTCTTCTTTGCGAGGATTAGCCAGGACAATGCAAGCCCTCAGAGACTCGCCTCCAGTATGAAGGACGACTGGAACAAGACAGCCGATTGCTGGCTCTCAGAAGATACGATCCCCCAATAGGATCGGTCGTGAGGCCAGATGGCTTGGCACAAACCACAGTACCGACAAGGTACCTTTTTTTTTTTTTTTTTTTTTTTTTTTACTGGTAGCCGCTCCCGACAAGGTACCTTGGAATATCCCACAGTAACCAAAGATTGTTGGGCTCTGCAGATGGCTCAAGGTCTATTAACTAGCCCAATAACCAAAATGTAAAAGCGGAGCTTGGACGTTCACATCGCTAGAGTAGGAATCAACGCATCTAACTTTCCCTTGATCTTGATATGGTGCAAAGCTTTGAGACGGACTGTCCCAGATCGGACAATTGTAGGATAAAAGCGGAGCTATCGGTAGCAGGAAGGACACTAGTCATCAGCGCATCTACCTTCTCCACGATATGGTACATAGCTTCGGGACCGACAGTTCCAGATCAGACAATAGCGGGACTACCTTCGGGGCGGACGATTCCGGATCGGAAAATTTGGGGACTGCATTCCAAAAGACGGATCACAGTACATCGCAAAGAAACAGTCAGAAGGAGGTTTTGGGATCATTGACCCTAAAGAGGGGATAAAACTTCATAAAAGCCCTCCGTATCAAATGCATAGTGAAGCTACTCACTCAACCGCGATGACGGCTTGGAACAACCCTAAAGCCAAGAATAGCATCTGACCGCGCGCAGCTACAGCGTCACCGCCGACCATGTCAAGCCAGTTCGGAATAATGATAAAGGAATGGAGCCCGGCCTAAGAGCGGCAGGGAAAAAATGCCCCAGAGGAGCCTCCACTGTCAGTGGACCCACCAACGCTTCCGCACTGGACATCCCTTATTGGACTTCGGCGACAGATACCGCCTAAAAGAGTACATAAACCCAAGGGGCTCGCCACATGGCACACGGAGCGACTGCATCATATGCCAACGAAAGGTGGCAAAATCACTGGTTACTATTTATAGCAAACCGATGAACCTAGCCATGTTCTTGGGGAGGATGCACTCGTGTCGTTTTTCGTTTCGTGTGCCGTGCGGCGGCGCCCCAAGTCCAAAGAAGGTCTGATACCACCACTCTTCGGGAATCCTTGGGTACGAGACAACGACAACAACACATGTTACTCTGACTAGTAGGGACAAGTGATGGCCAACCTGGGTTAAAACAGAGTATGAAAAAAAAAAAAAAAAAAAACAAAAAAAAACAGAGTATGAAAAGCCGACCGACTACGGGATGACGAAGGTGAAGACTGGGTATAAATGAAAGCAAACTCAGGAAGCAAGTCTGAAGAAAAGCCTGACAAGCTGACACTCAATCTCCTGTTGTTAGGGAGTGATCAATGCTGTACAGGCTTCCTTCCTTCGGGCAAGCTGGAAGGAAGCGTGTTGTGTGCTTAATAAAGTTAATACCGCTTATTGATGTAATGTTTCTGGCGGACTGCCACTCCACCGAATGGAAAGGCGCCAGCACCATAAGGACCTCTTTTAGTACTACGGTAGTACCCCCCCCCCCCAAAAAAAAAAAAAGGGTGTGCCCTAGGATGATAGGAGTAGGAAGTTAATCCTTTGCTAAAGAGAGGAGCAATCAATGCTTCCTGACACAACCTTTGTGTGTAAAAAAACGTTTGTTGACAACTCAACTCCTTGTGCCACCTTAAAAAAGAGTTGACGCAGCGTCGTTGCACCTTGCTCTTAAGAGGGGCCGCCTTATCTATCGGTAGCGGTATGACTGGATGGACTCTGGTTGGCGAACCGGACAAAGAAAGCGACCTCTGTGCAGCCCATCTCTGTTCAGCACAGGCTCGCCATCCATGACGGAAGAGGTACCAGCCTGTTGCTTCCCAGATGCTTCACAGATCATCAGGAGCCAAGACCGTAAGGACCTCTTTTTTTTTTTTTTTTTGAACATGCTATGCTTCTCTGGGGTTAACTTGTTGCCCTTCAGCGTACAGCATCCCTTCTTCCCTATATTCCATGGTGTCAGGATCCTTTGGCACAGCGGCGCACAGATCATTAAGAAAGCGGTCCCCTGTTTCCCCCCTTTTGTCATATGTTATATATCCAAGTTGTTTTGGGTTTGGTACCCGAACTTGGCTGTTCTTGTCCGGTAGATCAGTTCAGTGCTCGAATAGTTCTGATCGAGAGCGCCTGTTACACCCATCTTCCCCCCCCTTAAATTTTCTGGGGTTTTCTCATCAAGGTTGGCAAAGACATGCAATCGAAACTCACTTTCACACACACAGACAAGAGAACAAACAGGAAATTCCGCGGAGCCACAGGGGTATGGAAGCCTCAAGGGTAGAGCAGCAAGACACCAGATGTGGCTCGAAGGCTCGAAGCATATGTTGGACCAAAAAAGGCGAAGGGGCAAGTGGAGTGTCAGGCCTTACATGTTCATCCGGTGAAAAGCACCGAAATGGTAATGAATGGGAACAAGTAGAGAGAGGCAAATGAACTGAGTTGCACCGACTGCACGGTGAAAAAAAAAAAAAAAAAAAAAAAAAAAAAAAAAAAAAAAAAAAAAAAAACTGCTTCCAACGGAGTTTGCAGCAACAAAAAGTGAGAGGCGAAAGCAAGCCCTTCGAAGAAAAGGTGTTATTAGTTGGAACTTGGAAGCGTTCTGTTTTTTTTTCAAGCAGGCATGATAGGCCCTTTGGGACATGGGTTAAAATTGTAACGATACAGAGAATGAAGATTAGCATGGCCCCTGCGCTTTCAAGGATGACACACATAAATCGAGAAATGGGGTGCAAATGTTTTAAAAACAACAAAAAAAAAGAGGCAGGAGGCGTGATAGTAAGTTGATATCTACCTTGGCAAGCGTGACAGTATCGGGATGAATGTTATACTTGTCACAGCCAAACCATGTCCCTAAACGTCCAAAGGCGCACACAACCTGGGAAAGCAACACACAGACAGAACAGCAGCAACAGATGTGGACATGTCCTGGTTCAAACCCCAGCACTAGAAACCCCAGGTTCTTTGAATGAGCTTATAGACAGGATGCGTAAACAGTGAATCTTGAAAAGCATACATATTACATTCTCCTCTTGGCCAACTCTTGATCCAAAGTTTGACAAGCCATTTACAATGCATACGCTTCGGAATAGCGACATGAAAACAGCTCATAAATCAGGTAATGATTTTCTATCGAACTGCGCTAGCGGTCGGGGGGTTTGTGAGAGTCGTAGGTCGCTTGGGTGACCTCACGGGAGGCCTAGCCAGGTGGCGTCCGCGGGCTGCGCATGGGCCGCTCCAGGGCATCGGCCCTCAAAGGTTTTGTGGGACCGATCACCTTGGCGACGGACTCTAGTGGGTCCCGGTAGACCCTTAAGACAAAAAAGACCCAAAATGGACTCCGATAGGGCCGTTTTTTGGGCAGGCGGATTCCAGGTGCCGAGCTTGGACGATCAGCGGCGGCCCAGATCTGCCTGGCATTTCGTGCCACCTCGTGCAGTTCGGCTTTGAACTCTCCGTGGTCCAGCCCGCCCCATTCCCTCCCAGCCCAACCAACCCCCTGCACTGCGCCATGTCGGCAGTCCATTGCCGCCCGCGTCTGTTTTCTGATTGCCGCCGTCCTTCACCACAGTGTCGGGTTGTCATCGTCCTCGCTCCCCGTGCTGCCGCACGCACCATTGGCCACCCCCTCGACGTCGACTGCACCGTGCGATCACCAGCCAGCCTCTGTTTTCCTTGTCCGTCTTCTTATTCTCCTCCTCGTACTCCTCGTCCTCATCCACATGAAGGTGCTGATGCACCATGTGAGTAACAGAAGAGGGGAGACCTGAGGTATAGAGTCCACGGCTTGGGGAACAGGAAGCTTATCTGGAGGGTGCTTACCCAGTGCGTTCAGCCATAGCCGCCTCAGAGGAGCCCGCTGGCTGCATGTTGCTCGTCATTCTTCATCCAAGGCTCGGAGGTGGCGGTGCAGATTAGAGTTTGTCTGGCACAATACAGAGGAGGGTCTGTGGTGGAGAATGGAAGGAGTTAAAAGGGTGTGCAAGAAGAAGGAAGAGGAAGCTTGACTGGCGGGCATAGCTGCCTGAAGGAGAAAGAATCCCAGAGGAGGAGGGAGATTGACACTCACTCATCCTCCAAGTCTCCATTCTGTCGGTGTCTGTCATATATAGAGAGAGTGGGACACTGTTGTTGGTGACGTCAAGGGAGGAGAGGAAGAGAACACCATAGCTTCAGGCAGGCAACATGGTCATGATTAAGCAAGGAGTCTCCATGCCGCTTCAGCAGATAGAAATTGTCATTTCAAGTTCCATCATGATTGCTCTAGCCTGGGATGAGCCAGGAGAATAGAGAAATTGACTTGGCGGGCAACACTGTGTCTGGATTGATTGGCAGTGAAGGAGTGCGGAGAAGGAATCCCATGGCAGAACAGGAAGATGCACTTTGAAGTTTGAACATCGTATTGATTGTTTATAAAGATATTTCCATTTCCATGCTTTTTCTCTTCTTCTTCTTCACACAGTCACGTCCTTCATTGCAGCCAAACAATTCCGTGGTTATGTTATTATCAATCTGTGCCTTGCGAGTTCGTGTGCAATTTGATCGCGAGCTTCTGAAGTTGGGGTTCATTACAGTAATGGCGTCTCAGCTTTGTCTTTTTTGAAGTTTCTTCCTGCTCGGTGGCGAAACAGGTTTACCTCATCTGCAATGAACAATATGTCATACTTCTTTAGCACCGCCTGGATCTGCTTGATTCAAGCCACACAGCAGAGACAACAGAGCAGCAGACACCATTAGTTGATTGAACTTGATTCCACAGGAAACCCGAATAGAAATTCTTGCTTGTAAATCAACCGTCCATTGATTGCACAGGGACCACCTTTCTTTTTTTTTTTTCTTTTTTTTAAATTGATTCCACAGTGACCTAAACTACACAAAGTCACGGAATACTTCTTTAGGACCGCCTGGACCTGCTTTCTCAAGCCACACAGCAGACACAACGGAGCTGCAGACAACATCAGTTGATTCCACATGGAACCCGGATAGAATTGATTCCACACTTGTACAATGCATATGATTGCTAATAATTCCACTGCTGTCTACATCCACAGCTGTGATTCAGAGGGGTGTCAGTAAATGCATGGTTAAGGAAAGCCTGCGGTCTGCTTCTCCTGTGCTTCCATCGGTCATTGGATTGAGAATTTGAGACTCTGTTCGCATGCACTATAGCTTGAGCGTGTTTCATGCTCTTATTAGGGCTATAGGCCGCTAATAGATAGTCAAAGAGACACCCACGGTTTGCTACTTTTGCCTTCGTTCGGTCTGTGGATAAAGACTGTCCACATACAGTGTGCAGGGGGGTGCTTCATACTCTCGAGGTTGTGGGCAGCAAATAAATCCAGGGATTTGTTGTTTTTGGGTTGTTGCCACAACTTGCCAGTACTACGTCGTAAAGTAGAGTGAACATCACATCCAAGGACAGCAGACGCTTTTCCGGTTGTGGTCGATAAACAGGCTCAAGCAGAGAGTGCAGCAGACAGACTACTTGCCCATAACATGATGTGTCCACCATATTGCCAACTATGCCCGCGCCCTCGAGAAGCGGTTAACAGAACCCTAAAGTTTCAGGAGTTTTTTTTTTTTTTTTTTTTTTTTTCCAGGGTCATTATAGTAAACAAACGTCGCACACCTTTTAAGCCAGACACTTGTCCCCATTCCATACAGTGGACAGTGGACACCAAATAAACCAACAGCAAAGAAAAAAGAAGTGAAAAATTGGATAAGGGCCAAGGCAAAAGTGTGTGTTTCATGCAAAATTCGGTCTTCAGTTTTCCGGATTTTCAGGATTTTCAGGGCTGGCCAAAACAGTCATCTCCAAGACCCCAACAAACGCCAAACTCAGCACACACAGACCTTGACCAAAAATAAAACAGGGCAAAAAAAAAARAAAAAAAAAAAGCTGAAAAATAATTATCCCCAAATGAACTTTTCAGCTGTGTTAGTCCCTGAGCGGCCCGGCTGGGGGAAGGTCGTCCAGGTACCCTCCTAGGCGGCCTGGTCTGGGCAGGGCCCGGGCAGGGTCCCAGGCGATCCCAGCGCGTAATATTAAAAAAACAGAATAAAAAGAAAAAAAAATCCGAAAAAAAAAAAAGATGTGTAAAATTGCAATACAAACGACTTTTGGCTGAGGGCCACCTCGAAAATAAATGAGAAAACACGAGTCCAAATGTACCCTTTAAACCCCTTTACTCACCGATTATACCTCCCAACCCCCCCCCGGGCGACCCATCACCAAAACAGAAGTTAAGACTGAATTCTGCCTGTTTAGGCCAAGTGCAGTCCTGGCCTGAAGTCCTCTTTTTTTTTTTTCGGGATCCTTGCACCTCTTTTTTGACCCGTCTGGTTTTGGTTTTGCCGGGCGACCCCCCCTCTGCTCAACTGGCCCGGGTGTGCCTGGCCAGGGGTGCCGAGCCTGGCGACCAGAGCCCAACATAGCTTTTCAGTGCTGGGGGGGTTAAGTCGAGGTCAAGGTCCCTGCTAACCGCTTGTGCCCACTTCATGCTGCCCTGGCCTTGAAATGCCAATTCCTCATGACTGCACATCAGTTCCGAAGTGATAACTTGGTTGTTGCTGTGGGGAGGAGCACGGGGACAAGTTCACGTCTCTTGTTGTGAAACCAGTGTAAGACGCTCAGGTGGTGAGATTGAGAGGAGGATGGACTTAAAACAGAGAGCTGGAGACAAATTGGAAAGAGAGGATTGAGGACAAGAGGAAGTAGGAATAGAGAAATCCACATTGGACAGGGTGGTACAGCAGCAATCCCGGCGTCGGATCGTGAATTTGCTGTGAATGAGCAATGAGGGTGGAGCGTGGACACAACGGCTAGTTTCTAGGCAGACCATGGACCTCACTCACTCTCAAATTTGAAAAAAGAAGGGGAACTGATCTGAACAGGGTTCCCACTCACAAAGATTAGCTTTGATGAAGTGAGAGGATAAAGGCTTTTTTTTGGCTACCGTCTTCACCTGACTAGAACACACGGTCATTATCACTGTATATACTATATAGAGTATTATAGACTGAAAATTGCCCCATATACACCTATAATGACCGTGCGTTCTACTCGGGAAGACCCGCTCGAAAAGCCTCGAGGTGTGTTCTGGTAGGTCTGAGGATCTTTCCCTGAGAAGGCTCCTCCCAGCGGTTCTTGAGACGGCAAAACTTCTAGGATCCTTTTTTTTTTTTTTTTTTTTTTTTTTTTTTTTTACAGGAAGGCAGAGATAGAGGCAGGCAAAGCTAGGGAGAAGTGTATTATGAAGTCCTGCCTTGGAAGAGGCGGACATCTCTCTCTCCCAGTGAGCAAGATGGTGAGGCAATTACAGTTGCCATAGCTCGCAAGTTAGAATGAGGAACACCAGTAGCCAAGCTAAGACGGGATGAAGGCTGATGACATTACGCTCGCGAGGGTGTGCATCATACCAGGATGCATCATCATCTAGTCTTATGGGTTTGGACTCTGGAGTCTTTTTTAGACATTAAAAAAGACATTGTACAAGTTTCGCTATTAACTAGTAATTACTGCGCCGCCGCCACCCCCCTGCCCGATGGACCACCGGATCAGATATTAAACCGATCAGCACCTCCAGTCTTCATTGCTTTCGAGCTTGACACTTCGCTTTGCAGTTCCTCGATGAAACCGATCGTCGATTGGGCTGAAAAGCTTCTCCCCATGTGTGGCACAGTACCCCGTCATTTTTTGTTGTGGTATGAAACACACCACCAGTGAAAATATCGGAGTTTTCAATTTTACCTTTCATGAAGGTTTTTTTTTTTTTTTTTTTTGTTTTTTCCCTTCCACAAAACACACAAACAAGCCCCTTCTATTGTGGAGGGCGTCAGTCCGGTTGCTTATTACCGGCAAGCAGGAGTACAAGAAACAACAAGAGAACGATAGCAAAGAAGACTCAGCCCAACCCCTGCAGTACGGGTCACCTGCTCAAGGGAGGGGGGCTACCACGAGCCGACCCCTCCCCAAACCATAGCCTTCCTGACAGATTTCTGCTGGCCGGGAAGCTTACTGACAGCTTGCAGTCACATGTTTCTTTTTTTTTTGGGGGGGGTGTACCGCAGGACTCAATACTTTTAACCAGTGCGTTAGCTAGCTATTGTGTGAGCTACCAGACAGTCAAATTCAACCGGAAAGCAGAACACTGTTGTGCATGTCAAGGCGTCACCTTCTCAAAATACGTTGCTGGAGGGAGAATGACACCACCAGCTCCCATCACTGGCTCTGCAATGAATGCAGCAATCTGGACCGTGCTCAGATACACGGGGCCACACACAGACACATAGAAAAGGCAATTAATCAGTCAATCGGCACGTGAAAAAGGTCATCAGCCCACCAAAACACAAAGCAGGCAACAAGTACACAGAGAGTCAAAATTTCTCAAAAAGTAATAAGAAGTTAAAAACCACATTCTCTTCAATAACACCTTTATTCAGAACACACACACACACACACACACACACACACACACACACACACACACACACACACACACACACAGAGAACAGGGTGAGAAACATCATGCCTTTTGCCAGATGTAACACCGATCATTTCACTTTTCGCTGCCTTTTTAGAACCGAAAAAGAAAGTGCGGTGCATCATAACTTTTTACTTTGAGAGAGCTCAATCGCATGGTCTGATACAGTACTGCTCTTTCCCTTTAAATGCCCTTCTTTTGAGAAAACGAAACCAGACTCCACAGAGTACAATGAGTCGTAACGTTTCACTTGCCATCCACAGGCCTAAGATTGCATCAAACAATTGCAATGGACACTCTAACAACGATAAGGTGACCAGAATCACAAGCTCTCTTCTTGCTGTCCTTCTTTTCTCCTCTTGAAGTAATCACAAACCCTCGATTTGTTGCCTTTTTCCTCCCCTCCCTGAACTATGTTATTTCCACCACCCGTGACTATCGTAGAAGCCCGGTAGCAGTTCAGTTTGGACCCGGTGGGTTCTCTATTGACACACAGACACACAACTCTTCCCCAGGCCAAGGCCGCCACCCAGTGATCGTCATGGCTACCGGTAGTGGTCCCCACTTTCTGCAACAAACGTTTGAAAACGTCTGCCCTGCCGTAGATCGGTCTTCCATTAGTCTCAATCAAAATGGACCCCCAGGAGCAAGCAAGGAGCCAGGTTCATGATTTATCTAAAGCATTCTGATGACGTAATGTGCAAGCTTCTCCTGCCAAGCCCCAAAAGCTGTGGTGCCGTGTTTTCGCAAAGTGGCTAGGGAAAGTACTGGTGATTTCACAGAAATACATCGACATGATTGAAAGTTGATCAAATGAAGTTAACTGAGACTCCACATACAGCTTTCTTCTGCTGTTTAGCTGTCTTCGATTCTGCTGATCCTCTGCCCACACCATACGTCACAGAGACAACAGCAGAGAAAAGAGAGAGAGGGAAACCGGCAGACATAAATAGGAAGACAAAGCTGCGGACACACACACACACACACACACACACACACACACACACACACA